GATAGATAACTTGGTAACTAAACTAACTTGAATATATGCTACTGGGTCCAATCCTGTTTAACATCTTCATTCGTGGTTTGGATCATGGGGCAGAGTATACCCTCAGCAAGTTTGCTGATGACACCACACTGGGAGGAGTGGCTGATAATGCCAGAGGGTCATGCTGCCATCCAGAGCGACCTCGACAGACTGGAGAAATGGCTGACAGGAACCTCATGAAGTTCAACAAGGAGAAGTGCAAAGTCCTGCTCCTGGGAATGAAGAACCCCAGGCACCACCATATGCTGGGAGCCACCCAGCTGGAAAGCAGCTTGGCAGAAAAGGGTTCAGGGGTCCTGCTGGACACCAAATTGAACATGAGCCAGCAATGTGCCCCTGTGGCAAAGTTTAATGGTACCCTGGGCAGCATTAGACAAAGTATTGCCAGCAGGTCAAGGGAGGTGATCCTTCCCGTCTACTCAGCACTGGTGAGGCTATACCTGGAGTGCTGGGTGCAGTTCTGGGCTCCTCAGTACAAGACAGACATGGACTTACTGGAGAGAGTCTGGTGAAGGGCCACAAAGATGATGAAGGGACTGGAGCATTCTACTGTGAGGAAAAGCTGAGAGAGCTCGGACTGGTCAGCCTAGAGAAGGCTCATGGGAGGATCTCATCAATGTGCATAAATACTTGAAGGCAGGGTGTAAAGAAGATGGAGCCAGGCTGTTTTCAGTGGCGCCTAGTAACAGGACAGAAGGCAGTGGGCACAAACTGAAACACAAGAGGTTCCGTCTAAACATCAGGAAACACTTTTTCACTGTGAGGGTGACCAAGCCCTGGCACAGGTTGCCCAGGAAGGTTGTGGAGTCTCCATCCTTGGACATATTCAAAAGCTGTCTGGATGCAGTCCTGGGCAACTGGCTCTAGGTTGCCCTGCTTGAGCAGGGGCGTTGGATCAGATGACCTCTGGAGGTCCCTTCCGACCTCAACCATTCTGTGATTCTGTGATATAATCTTTTTGAACATACAATTGCTAATGCAGCTAGTGGAAAAGGTCATCATACCCTTTTTCTTGAATAGTTCTGACTATTGAACTGGTTGACAAATCAGATACCATTCAAAATGATTTTACAAAATGAGAACTTGGCTTTCATTGTGGTAACATTTAGATGTTTTGTAAGGGAATGCTCATTTTCTCCAAAGATCCCATTTGTTGGAATACGATCCTGGAAAAATTTCTTGTTAAGGAAAAATTTTCTGGGGTAGAAATCTACATAGCTTTCATTTAGAATCCAAAATGGTGATTACCTCAATCTTGGAATTGGTAAATAAAAGTTGCCCATAAAACCAGAGGAAAATTTGAGATTGTTCCCTCATGGGGACTTGGATTGTCCAAATTGTAGCAGCCCAATGGGTGGATTAAAGTATTAGTGTTTTCCTGGTAGACTCAGCTTTGGATCTTAGCTCTGCTGTAGAACTCCGGTGTGGCTCATACTGCAGTACGCGTACAGCTAGTGCAGGACATCAGTGCCTTAGTTGCCTGTGTGAAAATGGGGCTAGTGTTTGCAGGACTCAGAGCTATGTGTGAAGTACTATGATGATCTTGGATGACATAATGACAGATGGATATTGAGGGCTGTGTTCACTGGAACAGTCTGCAGATCTGATTCAGTAATATTTGGAGGGTAGGGGCCATGTTAGTGTCTTGACTGAAAATGTGCTATCATGTGAACAGTGTCTTACAAATAGGTGCAAGATTGTGGAGGGTGTTGAAAAGAGAGTGTGCGCTCTGGAAAAACACAGTGATGTCTCATTGTGAGGGACATATTGAAAATATTGTAAGTCTGATTTCTACTTAAACTTCTTTAAAAAATGTTATTTAAAATTCTGACTGTTTATTCCTAATTAATGACAGATGTTCCCAAAGTACTCTTAGTTTCTTCCTTATTCTTTTTTCAAGGAGTAGGAACAACTTAGTTGGACACTCTTCAAGTTGATTCTAAGTGTTTCTGGGGAGAAATTAATGATTTCATCACAGATGTTGAGAGAAGGAGAAATAATTTAGAGTAATTCATTTTGCCTGTGTAAAAATTTCCCTTCAGATTAATTTTGATAAAACTACCCAGTTTTAATTTCCTAATCTCAGTGTCATTTTGGTGTATATGTTTGAACAGGTGCCACATTTCACACAGGACGTATCTGCATTTCAGTAATTATGAGAAATTATTTGTTTGTTGTTGTAAAATGAAATTGTGAAACATTTAAACACAAGCATGAAAGACAATATAAATGGAAGTCATCATCTCTGCTAGGTTAGCTTTGCCAAATAGATGTACTGCTGGCAAATAGATCCATGAAACCTTTTAAAAAGGGGGTCTATTCTGAAAAGGATGCCTCTTGTTTTATTTTGTTAATTTACATTTTAATTCTGTAAAACTACCACTCCAAGGTAGTGGGTTTTTTTCTCTATTGGTGTCTTAAGACTAAATTTGTTCTTTTTTAAGCAATATAAATCAAAAGATATGACTGCTGTTTGTCAGCTGTGTCATTTGGTGTCAAGCTGTGTCTGCGGTTCATACTCTGAACTCTCTGTGGGCACTTGCTTATTCTGATACATGGGCTTTTACCTGCATCTTTCTTCCCCTACCCCCAAAAGCTTAATTTTTTGTCTTTTTGATGAGATAGTCAGACTGCCATGCTGGTTACAGCCACGGTGCTGTTGCTGTTTCAGGGTGAGCTAGGGGATGTTTTCAACACTACTGTAGATATATTCCTTCTTTATCTCTGGAATATCAAAGTTCAGTCTTTACTATTCCACTGCTTTAAACCATAAGCCATCTATATTTGATGCCTGTAAGAAAGAAATCTCTTGGATCCTGTTTAAAGGAAGGGGGTGACGGTGTGAAAAAACACTCAAAAGAAACGTATTTCCTTGCTCACAGGTAAATATTATGCAAAGAAGTCTTTAGGCGTGTGTTCTTACTAAAATCTTGCTTCTTTTGGAAAGATCTATCAATTTCCACAGGACCTATTGCCACCATCTCTAGTCTTCTTTTGAAGTTTACTCTCCACACGTGTTCTCCTCTCTCTCTTTTCACTGGGGACTTGAGCAGTTTGCTCTCTCTGGTCATGTGTTTTTGTCCTGCTTGTAGCCAGATGTTTCTCATTCAGGAGGTCCTCCTTGCTTTCTCTGGGGTTTTTATTATAATCTTTTGTTTGTACCCTGTCTTTTTCATAGCGTTTTATTCTGTTCATTTCCAGTCTCCTTTAATTTAATTACTTGTAGTCAGGAGCAAAATCGAGTCAGAGCTCAAAGTGAGAGTGTTGTTATGATCTCAGGAGGAGGTAGCGATATCACCTGTTCCTGGAGATAACATGGCAGAAGCCTAGAGGTGCTGATTCATACTTAGGCAAGACATGACTGACAGTTGCTCCCGGCAGAGTGGCTCCCAGTGATTTTGTGTACCTCTGGATACAATGGAGCAGGATGCTGGCTGTGATGAGGTGTAGGGTTTCCCTGTTGGTAGTGGAAATAAGTAAGTTAATAGTATCACATGGCCAGTGGAAGACAGCAGTTGTTCAATAAGCCATCTATTCAGTGCCTGCGAAAACTCCAGGAAAGGAAGAGCTACTGCTTTGCTGGGAGCAATAGATTTGCTGTCTCTTTCCTCAGTGTGAGGCAGCCACTGCTGAATGAGTGCCAGCTGGCATTCTGAGCACAGCTGTTTGCCTAAAACAGTGGTAATATGATCATGCTCAATGATAGAAAATGGCTGTGTGGCCTGACTGCTCACTCCGAGCACTGAGGTAAGGTGCACAACACGTTCATTGCAAAGAATAAATAATTCTCCTATTTGTTCTAATGTTCCGCACATTTGGCTCAGCATCTGAACATTCTTTCAGTATACCAGCCTGTAATAAAAATGCCCCAATTAAAATTTAACACTTCAGAATACAGGAAAATTAATGGTTTCTTTTCTCCTTCCCCCTAGGTGCTCATTAACAATATTTTGCTATACCTGACATTCTTCTTCTTGTAGACTGTTTCCAAGAACAATTCTGTTGCAGCCCATCTGTTTTATTTTGTTGATTCACAGCTAGTGTATGCCATGATCAGCTAAAAAGACAGGAGGGGAAGAAGATTGCTTACTTTTGTTGCATTGACCTTGCTGCTGCAATTGGGGTCGGAGGGTCTCTTTATGAAAGAGCCACAGCGCACACTTACCTAGATTTCTAGACTTTAGGATAGGGCAGGCAGAGAAAGGGGGCAATCTTTACAAAAACCACAGTGTAAGCAGAGTTTGGTAGTGTCCTTGGAAAAAAAAAATGCTGAACAGGGTTCTCAGAGGTGATAAAGACTTTCCTTAGGGAGCAAGTAAAAACAGTTGCAACCCAGGAAATTGCTTCAACTTGCTGAGAGCAAGCTTCAAAGGAAATGATGTATTGTGTAAAGAGACAGTGGGAAAGGGGATATGCTTATGAATGCTCATTTTGTCTCATCTAGCTGTTGTAGTTTTCAGTATTTACAAGTTACCTTATCCTGGCTACAGAAAAAAGCTACTTCAAAAGTCTTTTGATGTTGACCATTCTAAGAGGTACAAACTGATCCCTGTTGAATTCTGAGTCCCATGCCAAGTATCCATTCCTTTAACTCAAAAATTTTGAGCCCTTTGGTTGTTCGATAACTTGAGAATACCTATTTTGGACTAGAGGAGGAGAAATGAGTTGCCTGCTGCATGGACGTTATTGTAGGGCCTTGGTACGTGTATGCAGTTTGGGCTGCAGTCTTTCTGTAGCTGATGACTTCCCTTTACTCAAAATGCTTTTACTGTAAAGCTTCTCCATACCTAGGGTCTGTGAGTACATGGAATATTTTTGTGGGGAAATCTGCTTTCTAAAGAAAGAAGGTATTTTACCTTTACAAAGGCATTCACACAGTGCCTCTAATGATATTTGTTGGTATAATCATGGCAGCATTGCTGTCATCTAATTTCTTATTGCTTTAATAACTCTGTCTTCAGATTCACACTTCTCTGGTTAATGGACGGCCTAGTGCTGATGATCCTTCACGTGTATTACTAGAATTCACCTCTGCTCGCTTTATTCGCCTGAGATTTCAGAGGATACGGACACTAAATGCTGATTTAATGATGTTCGCACACAAAGATCCAAATGAAATTGATCCCATCGTTACCAGGAGGGTAAGTTCTGGCAAGACAGTAGAAATGCATGGGTAGAAGTTCTCTTACACTTGTAAATGCTGTACCTGCCTTTGTTTGCCATAGGAAAGTTTGGGAGATGATGAGTACCTGTTGTTATCTTTCAGAATCCTAGTGTTAGAGGATTCCCTCTTCACAGTATTTTGTTATCTTCTCTATAGCAGAAGTAACAATTTTATCTTTTCTGCTTAATAGTGTTATTAACATATATAACATGCTTATTAACATAAGCACACAGCTCCTTTGGCTGTAAACATTTGGATGCAGGTAGTTGGCAAGTGGTTGCTGTTAGATAATGTCCTCTTGCCTCTTCTGCTGCTCAATCATTTGCTACCTTTAACGCTCCTTGAGCACTTACTTTGAGTAGGATTTCTACTAGTGGTACTATAACTAGTAGTTGTGCCTGAATGCAACACTTTTAGCATTATTATATGACTGTTGCTAACACTAAAAATTTTACATTGTGCTTTAGTTTAAAAGAAGGGATGCAGCACTCAAACTCACCCCATACCCTGTCTTCACCACTGTTCCTTGTGTGTGCACGCCCCAATCTCTTCTTTCCACAATCTGTAATTTCTTCCTATGCCACATCTCCCTGTTTTCCCACTGCTGAAATGCTGTGCGTTATTCTATTTTTCCTCTAATTTTTCTACTAAGCATTGTTAAAAGCTGTTTTGGGGGATGTGTACCTTTCCATATTTTTTCTTTCCACTCAATTCGTCTTTCTGTTGATCATCTTATTTTTCATCTTTTTTTTATTTTATTTTTATAGAGTACCACTATAGTAAATCTTGTTATGAAGGGGGAGTATGGTTATTTTTTGCTTAATTAATACCATTTTTCAGTGGTGGATAACTGCAAAGAAAATTTGCTGCTTCTTTTCCACATCTCTGGTTTCCATTTCTTCCTCCAAATATGTAAAGTACTGGCTATTTCTGAAAGGTTGGATGTGCCATTCTGTTTGGTATTACAAACCCAGAAATCTTCCAGTTGAGTGCAGCTATTGAAGCCTCACTAATACTGGAAACTGGGTGCAAATTTAATAATCCAATTCTAAGTGATCAGAAACACAAAACTGAATCTAGGTAAGAACCCAATTCACACTTTAAAAATCACTGTAGACTCATGAAAACTTAGTGAAGGACAATCCACAGATTTCTGAAACCAACAAAGAACAATAGCTTCTGTATGGTATCTCTCCATGAGGCTGTCCTCAAAGGAACAAGGAGCAACTGAAACTTGCCATCCTTGTCTGGCTTTCCCTGTAGAAGACATAAGATAAGCCACTTGTTTTGCAAAACGGGAAACAAATGGTAGCCATAAATGATACATTTGCTGTGTGGTAGAAGGTTAACTGTGAATTACATGAGTTCCCATTTTGCTTGATATATTTATTAATGATCTGAAAAAGAGGTTGAACACACAAACAGCAAAATTTGCAAATAACGTGTGTTTGTTTTGATTAGCCAATTGTTAGGATGTTACAGGACCCTTGCCAAAACAGATGAAAATGGACAAGATGGCATGCGAGATTCACTTTTCACAGATGTCATAATACATGAGCATAAATATCTTTCCATCCTTCTTTCTGGTTAGAGCTATTATCTCCACCAAAGAAAAAATAGAAATGGTCAAATGGCAGAGCAACTGGTCAGAAGTTATTTAAATCTTAATAATGAAGACTCTTCCATAGTCATTCAGAAGACCAATAGTGAAAAACAGTTTCCACAGTTCAGTGAGTGCCCGAGTAAGGCCCGACCAGAGGTGAACAAAGGTGTTTCTTTCTTAGTTTTTGTTCTAGCCTCTTTTCTCCCCATCATCATGGCTTTTGCTTTTCGTGTTTTCTGAAGGGAATAAATTCTATAGCATTTGACTTTTCATTATCTAGTGTGCATATAGCCTTTTCCTATGCTCGTGTTTGGTGCGTGCTGTGTGTAAATTGACGTGGCTCTTGTGGCTTCAAACAAATGGAACTGTGCCAATGTATACCCCTTCTTTCACTAAGTCTGAATCTGTTGATCAAGACGCAGCTTGGATTACACTGTCTGCTATATTTGTAACAGATCAAAAAAGAAATAAACCAGGACCTGACAGTTTTGTCACCAGAAGTGAATTCTGTAATTTGGCGCCTGCATTTTACAGTCCACTTAGCAATTCAATTTCTGTTTTGTCTTACAGTATTACTATTCTATAAAGGATATCTCTGTTGGAGGGATGTGTATATGTTCAGGCCATGCGAAGGCTTGTCCACTGGATCCAGCGACCAATGTGTGTATTTTTCTTTTTTTTTTTTTTTTTACTGTGCTTTATTCATAGGGTGGAACATGAGAAAAAAAAAAAATCATGATATTCCTCAGAGTTCTGTGAATTTATGTCTCTTCGTAACCTAGAAGAACAGTCAGAAGCAGTGCCAGGATGCAATAGTGCTGGCAACCAGAATAATAAACATTCATACAATGTCAGTGAAGGCTTTCTCTGAAATGAAAGAATAGGTTTCAAATAATTCAGTCCATATTGAAAGTTTCCTAGGAACAACAGAAATTTGGGTTACGTTATGTAGCTGTAGAGATGAGCACTAACAGTCAGTCTCTCTTTTCATTGTTGATATTAATCAAGGTGTTTCGTAAATGACTGTCAAGTATTTAATCGATACTTGCAAACAAATGATGGCCCTAGAGTGGCATGTTTACTATGCAGAAAATATTATTTGAGTGATCAGCCAAGCTAGTCTAGAAAATCATGAGCTGTTTATAATTTCTTCCAACTTGTAGCTTTCTTTTTGTGCCATTAATAAATGCATAACCAATATAATAGAAATAGAGAAATATAATTTGTTACTGATGGTCCAAATCTATGCACACATTATCACTAATACAGAATTTCCAATCTCCTAGTATTACTAATGTGCCACAATGTGGGATCTCTTCATATACTATTCACTTAAGTAGGAGCTTTGTGGGATTTAACAGAAAATCTTGTTTGTATATGACATTAAGCCACTGTGTAGGAACTGATAAAAAAAAAACAAACTGGAAGAAATCTTACAGAGAATGCATTTACAGTTCTAAGTAGTTTCCATGGATGCTTGTAAAAATTTTACAAACTCCTTGGTTTAATCCTTCTAAGCCTTTTCTGTGATGGGGTGTATAGCAAGTGTTGAACTATTGTTTCAGATGGCCTTAGTTACCAAACTGCAGCATTGTCTCAGTGCCATGTTAGAATTGGGTCTACCTCAGAAAATAAGTGCTATTACTGTGATTAATATATACTTCAGTTCAGATAGTTTGGCTACTAGATAAAATAAAGGCCTTTTGACAGGTGTGGTGTCTTGTTTTGCAGAATGACAAATACGTATTTGTTGTCTGAGCAGTATAAAAAATAGTGTAAGTGAAACGACTCAAGCCATAAGAGATTTGGAGTATTTGGTTTAGCTCTCCAGGGATACTCTTTAGACTGAGCCATACCAAAAATAGGTGGGCTTTGGCTTATGAACATCATGACTGTAGTTGTTAGTACAATGAATCTTTCCCCTAGCATTGCAAAGAATAAACTTGCTTGAATTTCCTGCCTTGCTTTTCTGAAGCATTCCTTGACTTAACCTTGTTTTGCAAGATTTGTGCTTTGTCCTGTGAGCCATAGAATTTCTCCAGGTTACCTTGCTGCTTTGAGCTTGAGTGGCTTCACAAGGACCACAGAGAATCCCCTGCACTGAATAACTATTGGGAAGGCAATTTTTGCTCCTCATTTCTCCAAACTAGAGCTTCTTTTATCTTTTCCAAGCTGCTTCTGTGGCTCAGAGAGTTTGGGTGTTCCCTAAAGCAATATTTTCATGCTGGGACTAAGCTGGGACTGAGGTGATCTGCTGAGGAACTGAAAAGTGACTGAAAGGCTGGTCCTGCTCTCATTTCTTACTAGTTTAAAAACTCCTGCTATCCCTCACATAGAATTAGTTACACAGTTAGAACGTTGCATGATGAGTTGACTCATCCAGTAAAAAAATGATGCTGAAGTTAAAAGAAAAGCCAATTTTTATTGCATCAGGCAACAGAATTGATTTCACTCTGAAGCTGCAGGATTGCTGCATCTAAGGGAAGGGCGGAGAATGGCTCCCTCCTCCTAGTGTAAGCCAGCTGCCAGATCAGTTTTCCTGTAACGTGAAGCTGTATCTGAGGGCTACCAGCACTTTGGGTTATTTGCTGTATTGGGGGACTTTCATTCTCCCATCCTCCTTTCTTCAGCCAGTTGGAATTAGATTCTCCTACATTCTTAGATTCTCCTTAGATTCTCTGGCCAACTATGTTCCTTTGCATCATGGCTGTTTTCTTAAAATAGAGATACAGAAGTTAAACACACTCCTTTGTCTCTCACGTGGTGAATGCAGGATACATAAATGAATAAAAATGAATAAACAGAGGAATTACAGAGTATAGCCATTCTTAATGTTTTCATAATTTGAACTGGAGTGCAGATTACATATGTGGACAGATTCTTCAAATCATCACATTTTGTAAATATTTGTTTTTCTTTTAAATTAGAAATCCGTCTGTCAGTGTGAGCACAACACATGCGGAGAGACATGTGATCGGTGTTGTCCTGGTTTCAATCAAAAGCCTTGGCATGCTGGCACTTTCTTGGTTAAGCATGAATGTGAACGTAAGTTGAAAGTGGTACAGAAGAGAAAGTTTATTGCAAATGCTGGTGAAAACTGAAATCGGGTCATACATGATTTTGCAATTAATTTTATTTCTAACTACGTTTGTTTATGAATCAGTTGTTGGTCACTTACTTAGACTGGCTCAAAAGACTTAACAGGAAAATTACATGTAGAATTGTGGTTTTATTGAACTCAGAATATTTTATTGTAACGTGCTGATATTGATGGAATAATGTATAAAAAATCATTTTGACTTGTTTAATTTTTATGATTATGGTATTTTTGTTTTGATAAAATAACAGGACTGTATCCTGATAAGTAAAAAATCTTTTTTGCAGATTTTTCATTATATTAAACTTTAATGGCATGGTTTTTGTATAAATGCCACTTTTATACATTATGGTGTTTAGCCTTGCTGAAACAAAATACTTTCACATGATCAAAATGCAATTTTAGTTTCTGATTTTTTTAATGGAACAAACAATATATCTAGTTTTCCAACATGGAATGAAAACACACCTTGAAATATCACCTCCCCACAGGGTGGGAATTTCATTTTCAGATTTATTGTAGTAAGGATAGTTATAATTGAACTTTAACATCTTACTTCTGACGCTCACATGCCACTTATATTTATGAACATAATAAAATCTAGAGCTCCGTTACATGTAAGTGTTTATTCAATTGTAGGATTGCAGCTATAGTTTTATCATGAGTGGTTAAAAATAAACAAACAGATATCCCCATATTAAAAGTAGTAATTGCTTATTTTTGTGCTGTAAACTTTGGTTATAGAGGTCTTTTTTTCAGTAGGGACTGTGTCTGTACTGGGAATGCATTCTGGAGTGAAATCAGGGCACATTTATTTTCAAGTTTATTTTTTAAGAGACACTTAGAATCATAGAATAGAAACATAGAATCATTTAGGCTGGAAAAGACCTTTAAGATCAT